ATATGTACTTAATAGCTTGAACTATTTACCTAAATATAGGTTTCATCCTCCTCCTTCTCCACTTCACAGAATCTGCACTCTCTATCTTCTGCTAGTCCCAGTTTACCACTTGATTTTGTCCACGCTGATGAAGAGTTCTTATGCTACTAATTTATTATCTTCCCAATCTGTGTCATCTTCATCGTCATTTTGACAAACCTGTAATTATTTAAAACAGATTATGTAATTTTTTTATTTTTAAGTAATTACTATTAAATATAAATTAATAATATTAATATGACTATTAAAAAAACAAAACAGGTAAAATATATATAACCACTAACCCCCAAACAAACACACACAACATTCAGATTATTGGGAACAAGATCGACATCTTTTACAATGCTATTGTGAGATATAAAATAATTTTCCAGCCCTATGTGTGTGTTTACACTAGACTAAACAACTGTCAGACATAAATCTCATGCAATAAATGTAATGTAAATATCAGATATCATGAATTCGAAGCCTCACCATACCACATATATGATCTTCCAAATGGGAACTAAAAAAATATCTACACACTCCATAATCGGTACTTCCTTTAAGATTTCAGAGATACACACCTATTGCTGAAGCAAAAATGTCCATACTTACATTTAAAATACGACATAATAGTGTGTCAATTATTTACTTAGGAAAATTATCAGTTTTACCTGCAGGTAGTTCAAAAACTGCTATTTGCGGCACATTTAGGATTCGTTCGACGACTTAACCAGTTTAAATAATACCCTAGACTAACTGGGGCGGTAAATGGAAGTTATCTCTCTGTATGTATCTGTACTTGTGACCTAACAAAAATTGGGGGTAATTTCTTCGTAAATCACTACAGGTATTCGAAACCCTTACCTCATTAAACGTAATTAGCTAGCTCATAATCAATAGATTTAGCTCACGCATTCGTATGAAATACACAAAGAAAGTCGAATGGTTCCCCAACTGGCAACTCTTGTAATTTAAAGGTGTTAATTTTCTTTATTCGGCGTCGTTCGATGTGTCGGAATTATTATTACATTATTTGTGTGGTATACTAAGTTTTAATCTCTTCGGCAATACTTATTTGGAATACTAAAACCGTAAAAACAAACAATTTCTTATATATTTTTCCAAAACTAATGACATAAGACGGCGGCGATCCTCTGGGCGATTCAAATTAATTTTCGCGCGCCTGTCATTTGTCACCTATAAGTAGGATGTTTAGATGAGTTCGGGCTGCGCACTCCAGAGTGGAGTGGAGTAAGTAAGCGTAAACGGAGTGCGCATATGGTTTTACTCCTTTTACTCTCAGAGTTGAATGTCAGTTGTCAATGTGACATACTAATACTTAACAACCGTCATTGCGTTCGGTCTGCCAAGTTCCTTTAACTCCTTTAACACTTTTAACTCCTAACGAGCCTTTTAGCGTTCGGTTTAGTCCGATTAGTGACAGTTTAACACGCTTAAATGTCATTTAAAGCAACCTAAAATTTGTCCCCCTCCAGCCCCTGACTATCCGAACTCGCCTCGTATAAACTTCTTCCATATTAATGGTATGCACGGGAACTAAATAAAAAGCAATTTTACTTAAGAATTAGTCACAATTATCTTATTATCGATTTAAATCACCTTATGCGCATGCCCGATCCACACTCCATTCCACGATCTCCGAACGGTCAAAAAGGAACTTTTATTTTAACTCCTTTCGTTCCCGAACGCCTTAGATACTTTAGGAATGAATATAGTGAAAAGAGTGCGTAGCCAGAACTCACCTAATATTGAGATCGATGGGTTTTGCCTCGTCTCTGTTTTGCCAAAGAATATACTTTTTGTTACGTACCAGATGTCTAAAAAATGTACCAGAATCTGTCAAATATATTAGATTTTCGATATAATTGCGATTACGTATAGGAAAAAGAGGCTTTTTAACGAACAAAAACTGGCGCTCTGTGTATACACCATCCGGGACACCGTACTTACGCCGACAACACCCGGCCATTGTAACTCATCTGTATAAATGAACTAAAGTGGGGTAGAATGCTTGTCAATAGGCTTGAGATGCGACTCTATGGGCGAAGATAAGTTATTTTTCATCTCACTCGGGAGTATTTATAACTACCATTTCCTATTTCACTTTGTAATTGTCTGATCCACCAGCTTGTGGATTGAACAATAGCAATGTGAAACAGAAAATTGTTATATTTTAAATACTCCCGGCTGGAAAAAAACTCCAGTTCATTGATCTCTATGGCGTTATCTGTCAAATGTCATTTGTTAAAGTTATTGGTTCGCTGAATATAGATGGCGCTGTCGTGAAAAAATTTATCGGCCATGTTCTGTCCCGACTTTTATTACAAATTTTCAATTTGGCTAAATAAAAGGAAGAGCAGATGTTATTTATGAAAAATACATAAGTTAACACATTATAGAAACAAAAAATGACAAAATCGTTACGTACCGATCAATCAAGCGGCTTTGCCGACCACATAGTCCCATTTAAGGTGTCGTTCCTCAATAAACTGTTGTAACATTTCGAATACGTCTCCGTCACAACCTTGTAGTGGGTAAAAAGACTTGTCGAATAAGTTTCGATGGTTTGTGTTCGCGCCTAGACTTTGATATATTTACTGAATGTCCATGGGATATTGAATACACCTTAAAAAAATTAATTTTAAATATTTGAACGGTACTGTAATTTTTTAATAATTTGCTACATAATTACTATTATTTATGGACATTTGCATGTCTATAAATTACAGCTCATGGATATAGAATAGATATCCCCCATGGACTGGACATTCAGTGGATATTGGGATGTTCAGTAGATATCCAAAGGATTTGGTGTGCTGTCTGGGTATCTACTTAGCAAACCTCGGCAGGTAGTTCAAAAACCGCTTTTCCAGTGTAAGATTTTCCTCAACTCCTCCCCCCTCCCCTAATCTCACGTGAGATTTTTGAAAATTTGTGTTTTGGGTGTAAATGCGTTGGATTATTAAAAAAAAAAACAAAAACACAATATGTTTGTTCTATTACTTTCATTTAAGACTAGGAAAGACTAGTATTTGATAATATTGCCGTAATATAAAATTTCTAGAAAACTTTAACTTTATTTTCACGCAATTTTACACCGCTTTCTACTAGAAAAAAATTACGTTAGATTTACAAGGATCTCCCCTCTCAATCAAGTGAGATTTGGAAAGATTTAGCTTGATTCCCTCCCGTCCTTGAACAACTTACATTATTGGATGCCTCTTAATGGCTTTTACGAATTTGAGGTAACGCTGATCGAGAACAGCGTGCGAAAATACATTTTAATCTGCTCATGGCCAATCAAATAACTCATATTCCACATCACACTGTCATGCGCAAACTCGACGAGATATCGTCGACTAACAATCACATCTCTATAATTTTTTGTATCATGGGTAACCATGCACGTTTGAAGAACCATTGGACCAATTGCATGTGCATAGATACTTTTTTAATCAAAACAAAAGCCAATTTTTGTAGAAACCTACAAAAATTGTGTTTATAGGTATTTAAATAAAGTTAAGCACTTCTATTATTATATTATATATTTACCAGAAAAAAACCGAACAATTAAATACATACATAATATACTCTATAATAAACCAAAAAAAAAATGTAGACGTTTCATATAAGTATTATCAAATAATTATAAATATTTAAATAATGAATAAAATTGATTCATTATTTTATGTATACATAAAAATATAGTAAAAACAAAAACGGGTTCTCCAACATCAACATAAAAAAAAATAAAATAGTTTTAGCTTTGTTTATACAGGGTTTCTCAAAATTTCTATTATGGGTTATTATCTTATTTATTATTATATTTTTAAATTTAAATCTTTATCTGCATAAATCTGATCTGTCACATTTTCTTTCAGCGTAACCCTTTGAGATTATTCTCCTAGACAAAAAGAAAACATAAGTTAAGAGGCAACTCCTCCTTCGCTATTGTTATCAGCTCTTCCAATTCCTTCTGAAGTCTAATGTTCGGCACTTCATAATGAAAATCTGTGTATATTTAAAATAATCTGTATCGTAATGAAAAACGATATCATATTGAATATTAATCATTATGGTCCCGCTTATGTTGCTCCAAATCGAATCAAAAATAAAAGAAATATAATTATTTACATTATTAGTCCTGAAACGTAGGTAACTACAAAAACACAACTTATCAAAACGTATAACGCATTTGACTGAGCAACCATATAATATTTACAAAATTACAATAGATGGATGTTTTTAATTGAGGAAATAATATTTAATTTTTTTGTTTTACCAAAAAAATCTGAACGAAAAAATTAGCAGGTTTTTCCCGGAATTTTATTAAATTGGTCATAAGCTGGTTTTGCTTTCAAATGACCGTTTTAAGACTAGTACATAGTTAATAATACTTTTCTACAACTAATTATGTATTTATCACGTAGAAAAAAAAAAGAATAAATTTACAATAACAAGTACTACAGGGTACTAGTTATAACACTACGTTTATATTTAAATAAGAATTTATTAATGAATCAAATATACATGGGTGGACTAAATTTTTAGAGAAAATGTTATTCTTCATAAAATATTTTGCTTGTTTTAAAAATAAATAATTCAAATAGAAGTTGAATATATCTTTGCTTTAGTAAAACAGCCAAAAACATTTTTGTATTTAAATAATAATTAATTAATTAAATATAATATTTATTACAAATAAATAATTATTTTATTTTTTTCTAAGCACTATTCGTCCCTCCCTAACCTCACCATGTACACGGATTTTTCGTCGGACGCCCTTTCCGATGGTTTATTAATAATAAATAATTTTTTTATTTTTCTAAACACTATTCGTCCCTCCCTACCTCGGGACGCAAACGTCACCCTGCGTGAATAATGGCTACCATAAATTGCTCGTTTAATAATATACTATTTTTTTAAACAAAGTAGGCTTTTTCACATTCAAATATAACTGGGAAGTTGATGTTTTCCCCGCAACCTGTCACAATTTTACATTATTGACGCTCTAACGTGCCAAAATAACTTTGACGCTAAAAAAATGTAAACTAATCTGAATGTTTTAGTTGAACATCTAATATTCAAACCCACTTCCATTATTATTTAAATTATAATTGAAATAATTAAAATAGATTACACCTCTATCAATTTGTAGATAAGTAGACAAGACAACATACACAAACTTGTCTAGAGCGGTGCCGTCAATTTTTAAAATGGTCTTGTGGATAATTATTTCGTTTTAAATAATTTTGACAGTCGTAACTTGTGTATGCATGTGTTTATAAATTAAAGAAGAAACAAACAACACTTTTTAAATTTTAACATCCTGTATCTTGAATGCGGATATCGTTTACCAACCTAACCTAACTTATTTTTCAGTACTCTACCTAACCGTTTTTTAAGACGCTACTTCCTTCTTTAATTATAGTTACACACAATAATAATAATAATTAATTTCAGCTTTAGTTACTAATATGGAGAATTTTTTTTAAATCAAATAATAGTAGCCGTATTATCACTTATAATAATATCCCTAGTGCTAAAATTAATTACGGAATTTTTTTTAAGGTCACCAATGTTTTTGTCGAAGACGAGGGAGAATTATCTTACAACAAAAACATGATCCGAATCAAATGTTCAAGAACGTCTTGAGAATTTAATGAAGTTTTTGAGAAAAGATGTTCAAGATGAAGAAAAAATAGTCATGGCTACTTCAGGGTTTGAATTACAGAATAAATCTAAAAGAAATTACGACATTTCATCTGCAGATTTGATTAATAGGAGTACTCTAAAATGTGTTATTTTGTAAAAGCACACACGACAGTGTGTCATACCTGGAGTTTAGCACAAAAGAAGAAAGACTTTCTGCTAATGCAAGCTGCCAATTGTGTATGAAATTCGGATATATTAATAGACGATGTAAAGTTAAACTAAGATGTTCCAAATGCCAAGGTAGATATAATGTGTCCAAAAAATCATAAACAAATGAACAAACTGTTGATACATCTATTGCTATAGTCGATAATTCTCTTTCCAACTCGACCTTTACACAATTATTTTCACAAACTTTGTCTGTCCAAGTAATTGGAGAAAATAAAACTCATCGAACTATTGATACTGGGTCCGAGAAGTCGTATATTTTAATGTCAGCTGTTGCCTGAGATAGTATTTCAACCAATTAAACAAGAAAAAGTTATACATTCACTTTTTGGAGGTACACAAACTGAAATTATCAACCATAACTGCTACAGAATCCGGTAGATAATATTTCGTTAATATCACACAATTCGAAATTATTCTACACCACTGATTTTTATGACAACTGTCAAGGCAGGTAAATTTACACTTAATCTTACAGCTAGGTAGGGTAATTTTCTAATAAATACGAAGGTTGTCATAGCAACTTTTAGAAATGATTGCATTTTATTGGTTTAAAATTGTTATCGCAAAATTTTCTAAAAAATCTTTATTTTGAATAGATTTATACCCGCGCCACTTTTTTATAGTAAATGTCATTCGGTTTTGGATATTTCATTAAATTTAGAAATATTTTTTTACTCTCGGGTAAGTAGGTACCTACTGTATAAGACTTTTTAGATAATACTAGACAAACTTATTGAAATATTTCACACAAAACGTTAATATATATACAGACTTGAATATTTGGAACACTAATATTTTTAGAATCAAATAAACCAAATCACTATTTGGACTGTAAAGTATTTTAGATTACTCACGCATCATGCATGATTACCAAGTTACGAATAACTTCCAAATAAGTACCCACAAACAAATATAATTACGCCCACAATAGCAGAGAAAATTATTACAAATAGATTTGAATTGCTTGCTGTACCGGACGAAGCCGGTACCGCAGTCGAGGTATTATGGTCAATGTGTTTATGCTGCGCATGATTTGAAGGTTCAGGCTCCGGTTCCGCTGTTGGTTCAGGTTCGGCGACAGGTTCTGTTGTTGGTTCGGGTTGAGGCTCCGATGTTGGTTCCGCTTTTGGCTCTGGTTCGGATTTTGGTTCTCGTTCTGGTTTTATTTCAGATTCTAACATCATTTTCATTTCAAATTCTGAGTTTGGATCCGGTTCTTCTCTTGGTTGAGAAACTGGATTTGTTAAAACCGAAGATTCCGTGTTTGTATTTCGTGCTGGTATGGGTTGTGGGACCAGATATGGATCATTGGAACCCGGTAATATTTCCGGTTGTGGAGCCTTATTTTCTATTGTTGGTTGCTTAGTTGCATTTGGTTCGATACTGTAATCATATGCTTGGTTAAATAAATAACTGTTAGCACCTATATGAGAAGTGATGAGTCTAAAATTGGCTTCTTTCATGTTCAATTGATCGTAGATGAATTTATTGAGTCTGTTAACTAAAACTGTGATGTTACCGTTTTGGTCAAAGGTAAAAGCGCTTGGCCATTCTAAGAATCTTTCGTCTTTCGAAATTATTCTATGTTTTGATTCGAAAGGAGTATGTGAGTTCCATTTAGCTATACTGTTTGTACCTAGTAAGGTGTAGTAGAGAACCCCTTGATTGTCCATAATTATGCCTAAAACAAAAATTTGTATTTATTTATTTACGGCCAAGCCCAATTCAATCATTACAAACTACAATTTTAAAAATTAATTAAAATCACAAATATTTATGGTGCTGTAGCAAAAACAGAGACATTATACAGAGTGTCCGGGAAAATATGGGAGGTCTTTCAGATAGAACATTAAAAAATAAGATGACAAGTTGCCATACATTTTTTTCCTAGTGGCCCTCCCTACGGAGATACGGTCTCCAAAAGGACGCCACTGGAAATCAATTTTTCTTGAATAACTTTCAAACTTGTTAATATAATTTAATATGATAAACAGTCTTAAGTAAGAACCTCTTAAAATACTGCCCTTAAAACATAATTAGCTTGTTTAGTTTACCAGTGGCGGACTAGGTTGTACATTTTAATGCTTACATTTTTAACATCCTGTATGATAAGGAGTTAAAAAAATAAATTTCGATACCTTGAACATTAAGCTAAAGAAAAGCTACTCTTCTTCATTGTCGATAAAATGAACCGTTTTCGAGAAAAAAAATAAAAGAATTATTTATTAAAAAGAAACCATGATTTCCAATTTTTTTTTGTTTACAGCAAAGTGTGGTACGAAAGTCATTGAAATAGAACTGTTATCAGTATTAAAAAACGCACTGTTTTTACAAACGTTACTATGGTACCTACGAAATAAATAAATGAATAAGTCTACGGGTATCATCATAGGTATGGAATTTTTTTTATGCCATCTGTAAATAATAAAGCTTTGCTGTTACAAAAACAATGAATTGTATTATTAATAAATAAGTTGAATAGTAAAGGTCTTAGATGTGACCCCTTAGGAACGCCTGAAGTTACTTGAAATAAGTTAGCTTCTAACCATTTGAGTTCTATTAGTAAGATAGTTCCAATCCATTACAGTAATACCCTACAGAGACCATATTTGTTAAGCTTTTGAAGTAAGAGAGTATGGTTAATTAACCCTGTCAAAAGCCTTGGAATAGTCAGTGTAGACAGAATCGATTTGTAAACCTTTTTCCAAGGTTACTGACAGGAAGTCCATATAATTTAACTTTTCTAGCACAAAAACCAATATTGGAGCGCCTGAGGCGTTAAAAACATGAAAATCTCGAACTTGGGCTGCAGTGAATGAAATTTAAAAATTAAAAATGGAATATATAAAAAAGTTATTATAGTCCAAAATCATTGATTTGTGAATTAAAGACAAATGTTATATCACAAATTTTATTGAAATGACTGGAGTAATAAAAATGGTAGGTTTTCATTAATAGCGTTCTCATTTTTCTTTTCTTTTTTAACAGTAATTTATCTCAAATACCTACTAAGTTTCTATATCGGGTAATATTTATATTTCAAAACACATATATAACAATTTATCTTTACATAACAAAATCTATCAACTAATAAAGGAAAAATAATATATTTATATACAAAGATGAATTATACCGAACTATTTTTAAAATGATAAATGTTATTTAATAGTATATTTTTTTAATATTTACCTGATGTTTGCGATTGCTTGATTCCACAATCCCTAACGTTTCCCTGATATTCTTCATTGTTCATTCCATTTTGCTCGTTTCGAAGGACTGTCGTGTTGATAGAATAGAAATGCAAACTGGAGATGGGGCTGTAAAATACTTCTCTATCTTCATCTACGACGATTCTGTCGCTACTCGCGTGAACTTTCGGTCCCAATGCGATGGCGGCCAAATTCAAGGGGGAGTTGATGATGACACCGTTGACTTTAAAAGTGATCGCCGAAGGATCTGCTCGCATGGTTTGTGAATGACGAATTTTCCAAGAGTGGTGGTCCTTAACTGAGAAGACGATTATGCCTAGAAAGAAAGTACGTTTTAATTAAACGTTTATTCAATTTATAAAATAGGTTTGTTCTGGTTCTCAAAATGAAAACTGTTTTGAAACTGCGCCGGACCGTATGCGTAAAGGCAAAAAATCCCCGACTGTTTGAAATTCTTGGAAAACCAGAACACGTCATAAAGGTGTTTTGTTTATTGTTTATTATAATAATGAAGTTCCTTTTGAAAGCTCAGCTTCAAATAACATTTGCATGTATATGTTTATCATTATCATCACATTTCAATGGAATAAATAAAAACAGAATATTAAAAAATTAATGATTCTAAAATTGCTTTAATTTACAAATAAAACAAGAACAAGAGACATTCGTCCACATATAAATAAACAATTTGGGATTGTATACGTTTCGTATGGTCTAAAAAGCCAATACAATATTCATAACACTTCAAAAACGCATGCGCGGTCAAAACAGTCCGAGTCGATCCACACTCCCAAGCATGAACACTTTTTGACTGTTTACAACAATCACGGATTATTTCGGATACGAAACCAGAACACTGGACTGAGAGATCCGAAGTAGTCCCAGAAAAACCAGAACACTTTTTATCTACTGCGCATGAGCCCGACAGTTGTGGATCGTTATTTCTCAAAACCAGAACAGACCTTATATTAAGGAGTTTAAAAATATATAGTACTTTTTTTTTTCGTGTTAAGCATACGACTAGTATATAAGTTAATAAAACGACAACAGTCGTCAACTAGAATTAAAAAATATGGTGGTGGGATGGATATTAACCGAACCGAATTTCACTTACAGAGTCAGAGAGCGGGGATATCGTAGTTGTCACATGTTGGCTCTGAAAGCACGGCTATGACTAATACAAAATAATAAGTACTATATATATAATTTTTGTACTACACTGTCAAGATAATTTCATGTTAGATACCGTTCCAAAATATTTCTCTCATACTTGATTGAAGGCTATTCAGGAATGGTAGATGAATCGCTTACTTTTAAGGGACAAAAATTTGATAAACTACTTACGTATGAACAAAAGTGTAAATATATTTAGTTTTTTAGATATCAAGAGTAAGTTCAAGGCCGACTAGAGGGGGGTAGCCAGGATTAATTCCTGGGGCCCGGGTTCAAATGGGGGCCCGGCAGCGGAGGTGTGTGTGACTTTCAGAAATCTGACACAAGAGGGGGAAGTCCTTACCTGTTTTTTTTAGAGGAATTCAAGTACAGGAGGAGAAATTTTTGCGTAAAGGGGGAGGACCTTTTGTTATTTAATGTTTTATAAAATTGTCGCGGGGCCCGATCTGGAGAATTGTCCTCGGGCCCGGTCTGGCTCTCGGCGGCGCTGAGTAAGTTTGTTTTTATGAAACCAATTCTTATTTTTCAATTAGTTAATGCTGATTAACTACCACGGTTATTAGCCACGTGTTCTGTGTAGGCTTTGTCACTGTTTCCCAGTCCCAACAGTGAATGGTCGAGTGGGAAATCCTACCGGTTTGCATTTTTAATTCTGCGGTTATTTTTAAAAGTGAATTAATATACAAACAAAACAGTAAAGGACCTAAGGCTGTTCCTTGTTGAACACCTCAGGTTATTTCTATAATTTCGGTAACGTCATCTTCTTTAACATTATGTCAAGAAGTGTTGTAAACAAAGACAGAAATACGAGTTATTTCCGTAATAAACCACGAGTGGCTCTAAAGTGACAATTAAAAAGAAGAAGAATTGTTTAGGAACATTTTTGATTGATTACTCCTTACACTTAGTAAAGTTTTTATCTATATCTAATTATTAAAGTTTTATTCTTCTAGAAAAAAATTGTTGGAATTTAAAAAATAAGCGAATTTATATGAATGGTTTCATTTCAAGTACGACATATTACATTATCGAATCTTTTAGGACATAAGAATACAAAAATTTAAAAATTAGAAAATCTAACTTGTCGAGTTTAAAAAATATAGTAGTTTGGATGAATTTTAAAAATATTCGAGATCAGTTAAAAAGTTTCGTTTTTTTATAACAGTCGAAGAAAAATTATATGGAATGCATGACATGCAAACATTTTACTGCCTTGACTTATGTCAATGACAGCATTTCAGTAATGGAACTTTAATTAACGTTATTGTCCCTCTAAAATAAAACTGGAACATAATGACAAAGCTTACAGGGAAAACGAGATAAATAACATATCGAAAAACCTTAATAACATTTTTTTAGTACGTGTATCCCACGGAGGTAATGCGTGTGGCCGTGATCTATTCGTTCAAAGCACGAAATACTGTAAATTGTTTTTATTTCCTGTTTATTATTACAAATATTACATTATTATTTTGTTATGAGAATATTTACCATTGTTCAATTTAAACTACAAATATATTTACAGGCTTTTATTTGGACTGTCTTCGCACCGTAGGTAATTTTAAGCATATGGTTGGTACTGATTTGGAACTATGTATTATAATAAGATTACACTACATAAATCCACCTCTAGCCAGGTGATCCTGAACATAAGATACATCCGTTTGTTATTGGAACGTTTATATCTAAGTTCACCTGTATAAAAAAGAAACAACAAAACAAAAATTATTTAAGGAGGACGTCTGCTCAATATCCTCAAGAATTTTTTAACTTTATATTTGATGGCAAATGACTTGTGTGAAGTCCTGGTAAGAAATATGTATAATCTGTTTTACCTATTTGAGGATAAAATAAATTAAGTTAAATATATTTATTTGTATTTTTAAGTATTATTTCATTTCCAAATTTGCCCCAAACTTTGTATCTTACTTCACAAATTAATTAAACACATCGTGGGTAATAAGTAATAAAATAATCCCATTAAACTAGACGATCCACTAGATGAAAAAGGCATATTAAAGTAAGTAAGTAAGTGTGGGTCTTACCATTTTTTTTTTTTGGGAAAAAATGCTCCATAAGAGGCGTTTGCATTACAAATTTACATTTTTCAGCATTTTCGCTGGCAATGAGTGTATATAGTTAGATGTATGTGGAAAATGTATGTATTAACCTCTAAATATTTACAGAGGTGCTACAATAGGTTGTACAAAATAATCGAAAGAAGCCTGTAATAACTAGATGGGAAAGTAATTGTTGGACACATCAGATTTTTTGAATTAATGCCTTTCGCTTGTAAACCCACGATATTTTTCTTATTAAAGAATGATCCAAAATGCATTTCAAGTAACGATTTATTTATCTCTACTTTAGAACCATTTTTTTGCCCACTCGTTATATTTTTGTGCCAATTAACATTGTTTATTGAATTATTCATATAAAGTGATTCGTTTTTATATAAACTCTTAAAACTTCTTGCTTTGTTTGACACCCAACAACAAAAAGTTTCTAAAATAACCATGAATAAATAATTATCATTATTATAAGCAGCGATGATGTGTTTTTTTTTATTGACATTTATACATAATATAACGAAACTTATTTATCTTTAAAATTAGCAGGACGTACCTATAGACGTAATATAATAATGAATTTTAGAGAATTTTAAGCAAACTGTATAAATATTAAGATGAAATTTAATTTGATATTTTGAACAGCAAGAAGTTACGTAACGCGATAAAACGAAATTATTGATATCTGTTCACCTGAATATTTAATTTTTCTTTTAATTATAAGATGAGCCTTCTTCACTTTCACCTACATTCATTACGAAATATAGGTAAGAGGAAAGCATTGAAAATTATTAATATTAATTTTCAATAACATGGAATTTTGTATTTTTATGATCGAATCTTAATTATAAAACTAGTACATGCAGAATTTGTTTATATTGTATCACTTGGATTAAATTTTGTATTATTACAAAATATTTTTTTAAAAAGTAATTTTTTGTACGAGTTTAATAATATAGATTCTCTGCAAGGTCATATTGGACTAAGAAATTACCTGCAGGAATAGTGGGTTAATAATAATAGCCAGAAATTTAAAGGCAAGTAAAGAAATCTGTCCTTATAATTTTATTACTTGGTATAATTGTATTACGCCTTAATTACGACCACTTCTTTCGTTCTGTTACCAATCACAAAATTATGAATAAATTATTTATTAATGTTCACAAAGGGTTGCTAATAAATATGGAATTAAAGCGATATTTCCTAAATATAAGGAGGTGTCATTAGATTTTTTTAGTATAAGTTAAATATGTTGCAGCGATTTTTGGAGCATCATCTGTTAAAAGACCTACAAAAGACGTTTCGTGTGACCAATATTGGAATTAAAAAAAAAATGATTCAAAATATATTATGTTAAATTGTTCGATTATTGTGTAAGTAGAATTAGTTGTTTTAGATAACAACTTGGTAATTTTAACACGTAACCTACCTACTACGATTTTTTTCACAGCATTGAAGATAATCTTAGTTTGGATTGTAAAAAAAATATGAACATAATTTCTATCGTTACAGACAGCGGTTTTATGTAACTGGTTTGTTTTTGTAACCTTGATTGTATTAGGTAGTTTTTATTTATGAGTTATATTATAATTTATAATAGAACATTAGCTCAAGAGATGTGATTTCTTTTATTGGATGTAAATAGGTGATTTTACAGTAAACAATGTTAAATACAGATGATGGAAGGTCAGGGAATTTCGTTTAAGTTTGATTTTCTCTAATTATTTTATAAATCATTTGAATTGCTGAATATTTTCCGATACGTCGTCGTGATCAACAAAAAATGTTTTTAAAATAGGTCATGGGAAAAATTACATGTGTCAAAGAACACCGTTCTTCTTCTTTTTCAAATTCATGACAGTTTGGATTTATTCCAGAGACGTTTGCAGTTATCACAAACGTAAGACTGCACATATAAAGAAAATATATAGACCCTTTAACATATTTGATCCTAAAATAAAATTCAGATACATGTTCCATACTGGAATTTGTTAAAACTCGTACACAAATCATCGTTATTTCAACATTAAATAATTATTTTCACTTATCACTTTCAGAAACAAATACTCCTTCAAAAGATATTTAAAAAAACTCTAAATAAATTATTTGAGATTTAAGAATATAGAAAAAAAATGTCTATGGTAACTTGATAGACACAGACATGACAATCAAGTGAAATCAGTAAGTACCAATGTCAAAGTGAATAAAATAAGCTCCATAATAAAACCATTGAGTTAAAAAAAAACTAAAATTTAAAGCACTTAAGTTAAACTGAAAATTCAGAAAATCTATAAGGTTTTCAGTTGGAAGAAATTATCAAATAAAATCAAAACGAAAAATCCTAGAGTTATCCTTTCGGAATACATACATACACACGCATACACAATTACCCGATATTTTTTCTGTCTTTTGGGCACGAATACAAGACTGAGGCCCCATAAGAAGAGGGCCTCAGTAATTTTCCAAGGTTGGTCTAGATCTAGAATAGTTGTTTTTAAGAAAATCAGTACATTATTATTTATGGTGTATCTTTTAAATATAGATGCTATTAAATTTAATTACTGTTGATTCCGGAAAAATATCCTGCGTTAAATATATCACAGGACGATAATTTTTTTAATAAAATTTTTGATGTGGTTTTATTAAGGCCTCGATTAATTTCCCGCCTAGATAGGTCAAGAGCGCATGATGCGACAAATTTAAAAAAAGAGGTAAATTTCAATAATTATTTCCGCATATAGAATTACAACAAACGTGTTTTTGTTATACAAGGAAAAGTCATGCTTCAACGAGCGTTTGTTGGTAATTTTTTTAATAATTATATTCTCCATATATCTGTACCTAAAATATATAGTGAATATTAATCTTCAAGTATATATCTAAATATACAGTGTGTCCAGGAAAATTTGGGACGCCTCTCGGATTCAGATAGAACATTAAAAAAATAAGATAAGTTCCCATAATTTTTTTTCCAACGGCCCTCCAAAAGGACGCCACTGGAAATCAACTCTTCTTAAATAACTTTCAAACTACGTATTATGATTTAATGAAAATTTAATATGATAAACAGTAGTAAGAACCTCTTAAAATACTGCCCTTTAAACATAATTAGCTTGTTTAGTTTACCAGGGGCGGACTAGGTTGTACATTTTAATGCTTACATTTTTCACACCCTGTACGATGAGTTAAAAAAATTAATTTCTATACCTTGAACATTAAGCTAAAGAAAAGGTACTCTTCTTCATTGTCGATAAAATGAACCGTTTTCGAGAAGAAAAAAAAGAATTTTATTTTTATTAAAAAGAAACCATGATTTCCAATTTTTTTGTCTGCAGAGCAGTGTGATACGAAAGTCATTGAAATAGAACTGTTTATCAGTATTAAAAAACGCACTGTTGTTACAAACGTTAGTATGGTACCTACGAAATAAATAAATGAATAATTGCATTGACGTGTGCATTTTAAATCATGTTGACACGTTGATCTTTTAGTACTCTGATTTTAATTTATTGAATTTTGAATATCCTGGTAAATTTAATTCGATAATGGGATACACATTTAGTGAGTATGCAGATATGTATCTTATGTACGGTCTTGCATCTTGCAATGCTTATTAAGAAAGAAGGTTGCATGAAGAAAGATATCCTAATCGCAATATTCCAAATGAGAAAACATTTCAGCGACTTGACCAACTGGTGGGCGATGCCCAGTTAATAAGGTAACATTATTGACTTTTTTAATAATTTTTAGGAAGTTTTCGGAAAACAAGTACTGATGCTGGTTTGATAAGAACAGTACATACGGTGCAATTGGAGGAAACTATTTTAGATACTGTAGCTGATACTCCTTCAATAAGTACTCGAAGATTAGCCGCGCAGCTTTATGTGTCAAAAACGACCATTGCCGAAGAACTTAAAGAGCAGCTTACCCTTATCATCTGCAAAAAGTACATCAACTACTTCCTGAAGATTTTCCTCGCAAACTGGCTGTTAGATTCATTAGCACTATTCTTTTTACCGATGAAGCAGGGCTTATCAAAAATGGTATTGTAAATTTACATAACCCGCATGTATGGGCTGATGAAAACCTTCATGCCACTGTTGTTCATCAATCGGCAATTTTTTGATTGGATCATGCGTATTACCACCACGATTGAAAGGTGAACTTTATTTACAGTACCATCATAACGTTTTTCTGGATTGGTACCTCATCAAAATTCATGTTAAAATATTCTAAAACCTAATTTAATATGGCAATTGAAACTATTTTGTTTTTCACAGAACAAATTATTTAAAAAATATATATAATAAACGTCGTCTAGTGACAGTAGCAATTGAAAATGTAGTAAATACTTAAAATCATCAAAATATTTGTCGACAAAATTTACTAAAAAATAAAACACCTTTTAGTCATCTTAATGAAGTCATAAAAATTAATGGTTTTATTATTAACTGGTTTTCGATAATGATAAATTTAATTTTATTAGGATGGATGTATAAATACAGATTCATTAATGGGTGTCTCATCAAAAGGTGTCTCTGAAACATTACAAGAACTAGGAACCTTCTTTAGATAGTGTATCAGGATTTACAATATCCAGGATGAAGCTCTTCGTCCGCACTGACTAAGGTGGACGAAAAATTTTGTTCAGAAGAATCCTATAATTTTCACCTTTAAACCTGTTAAGGTTTAAGTTTATTTTATAGTCGGAGAGCTAGTAACACAAATTTCATTAAGTGTTTGATGCACTTTGTAATTTTGTAATTTGAAATCATTTGGATGGAAAAGCAGATATACTTGTGTTAGCTAGACCCACCCCGGGACACCAGGTACTGCGCATAATAGAAAGGGGTCGTAAAATATACCCAAAAAAAGTGTTGGATTCAGAGGCCAATAAACAACAATTGAAAGTTTAGGTAATTCTAAAAATACTAGTAATTTAGGCACTTTTGAGATTGTTTATAATTAATAAATCATCCCCAAAGTTGATTTTTTTTAAATATGGTTTGAAGTGTTTGATTCACGCTGAAATTTTAATAGCGTCTTAATTAAATATAAAAAAAAATTAATTCCAAAAAGGCAGACACTTTTTCTGGGATTTAATTACCGCCCAATATAAAAATAAGTCCTATTTACTATAGTAATAAATTGTTATATATTATTATAAGCGATTCCAAACTTCTATCAATATGTGCTCGGTGGCGCAGAGCGTACAATGATCAAAATTTGGATAGTGTGGATAGCAAGTTGGTGGTTCGAGCCCCGAACCTTTTAGTTTTTTTGTTATTGTTTTATTATTTCACAGTCTTGGTAATTTAAAATGTTTAGTTTTTCCTTTTTTTTAAGAAAAAAAAACAAAAAAAAACAAAAAGTTTCGGGGGCTCGATCCACCAACTTGCTATCCACACTGTCCAAATTTTAACCACTGTACGCTCTGCGCCACCGAGCACATATTGATAGAAGTTTGGAATCGCTTATAATCATATATAACAATTTATTACTATAGTAAATAGGACTTATTTTTATGTTGGCCGGCAATTAAACCCCGGAAAAAGTGTCTGCCTTTTTGGAATTAATTTTTTTTATATTTAATTAAGACGCTATTAAAATTTCAGCGTGAATCAAACACTTCAAATCATATTTAAAAAAAATCAACTTTGGGGTTGATTTATTAATTATAAACAATCTCAAAAGTGCCTAAATTACTAGTATTTTTAGAATTACCTAAACTTTCAATTGTTGTTTATTGGCCTCTGAATCCAACACTTTTTTTGGGTATATTTTACGACCCCTTTCTATTATGCGCAGTACCTGGTGTCCCGGGGTGGGTCTAGCTAACACAAGTATATCTGCTTTTCCATCCAAATGATTTCAAATTACAAAATTTCAAAGTGCATCAAACACTTAATGAAATTTGTGTTACTAGCTCTTGGACTATTATTTTTGTCTATCTTTATTTGTTTGCAATGTTTTTGACTTATTTTATGTTTGTTTGAAATGAAATACATTTTCTTTTTTTACTCTTTTGTCTTTTTTTAATCGCAAATTTAGTTGCAAACTCAAAAAATAGATTTTTGTGCTAAACCAGACATGTATAAATTTTTATCTTTGATTACATTGAATCTGAACAGACTCAGATTGATCGGAAACGTGAAAAAAAGTCTTAAAAATTACCTCAGTAATTGAGCCAAAAATTAAAAAAAAAAACAAAATTTGATTCAAATCGCTTCATAAATTAAAAGATATATTAACATAACGTGGTATAGAATGCAATTTTTTATCGATATTGAACTTTCTCGCACCCTGTATATTTAAAATTAAGGACTTACCAGGGTCTCTTGCACTATTATCCGTAATATAAGCATAACCACCATCTGTATCGTCTATAACGATATCGTATAAGTAATTAGAATTCAAACTAGCAACATTTTCCGGAAAAGTATAAGCGGTTGTAGTCATATTCTTTTTAATATCAAAAATAATCAATTTCGGCGGGCATCTGGAAGACGGCGTGTTTAAAGTTTCCGTTCTTCCACTATCGATAATCCAAAGTTGCCCTTTGGGATCGATTTCGATGTTTTGAACATTTTGAAGTGCATTGCAATCCCCTTCTTTATTCATTTCCCACGAGGGGAACGGTTCCAACGCTGGGCTGGTACTGTTCGTTTTTCCCGCAGGAATCCTAACCAGAGTAGCAGGAACGCCATCCTTCATTCGAGGAAGTGTTAGATAGTAGTAGTTCTTGTAAAAATCTAGTCCAGAAATAATGTTGTGTTCCGGTATGTAATTTCCTCTCGAAACAGCGGTGGCGTAGAATTCCCGATCCGGCCAAGTGAAGTTGAAAAACTTCCATTCCCGAATCACTTTGAATTTTTCAGGCGTCGCGGACGCGACAAACATCGCAAACAAAAGAAAGTACCGGCGGTACATTATTGACGGAGAGCGCGTACTGTGTAGTTCTGCGACCGAAATACTCGACGGACTAACTCTAACTGAATATTGTTTACTTCAAGTTGTTTTATAACAAGTTGCAGGCAGTGGTATCTAAGTAAATGAATTTTTTGAATTAATTTGCAAAATATGCACCAGTGAGATGATGCAGAAGGCACTACGTAATTCAAAAAACATTTTATCTAGTTGTTCGATAACATTCATTAAATACCCACTTTTTTAAACAATGATTGGTTATTGAAAAATTGGTAAAATATGTTAAATCAATTTTTAGTGATTCACAATGTTTCTAATATTTTTGAATTGGTGGTACATACCAAAATAGTGTCTAATAAGATGTGAAGTATGAAAAGTATGAATTTTTTCCAAAGATTAAAATTTCATGAGCCATTTTTATAACAAATTAATAATTTCAAATGTTTACAAAAAGTTCAAGGTTTCTCCACCCCAAGTTTTATTATTGGTATTTCTTGAAAATTTCACAAAAATCGGACTAAAAATAAAGGCTCAGAATAAATTATAAATTTTCGAGTTGTTAGGTTTGCTCTTAAGTAAAATTCAAAAAAGCATAATTATTTTTTAAGAGAAAACATTTATTAACAGAAAATTAACGGCAATATTTTAGAACAATAAATGTTCAAATTTTCATATCTGTATACAGATAAGGAAAATATAGGAATCGGGATTTTTTCGACCTCGAAGTTTCGACGGATTTTTACGTTTTGGGGTACCTGAATCCGTTTTGACTATTTTCGCGATGATATCTCTGTGTGTGTGTGTGTGTGTGCGCGCGTGCGTGTGCGTGTGTGTGTGTGTGTGTGTGTGTGTGTGTGTGTGTGTGTGTGTGTGTGTGTGTGTGTGTGTGTGTGTGTGTGTGTGTGTGTGTGTCTGAGTGTGTGTGTGTGTGTGTGTGTGTGTCTGAGTGTGTGTGTGTGTGTGTGTGTGTGTGTGTGTGTGTGTGTGTGTGTCTGAGTGTGTGTGTGTGTCTGAGTGTGTGTGTGTGTGTTTGAGTGTGTGTGTGTGTGTGTCTGAGTGTGTGTGTGTGTCTGAGTGTGTGTGTGTGTGTCTGAGTGTGTGTGTGTGTGTGTCTGAGTGTGTGTGTGTGTGTGTCTGAGTGTGTGTGTGTGTGTCTGTGTGTGTGTGTGTCTGAGTGTGTGTGTGTGTGTGTGTGTCTGAGTGTGTGTGTGTGTCTGAGTGTGTGTGTGTGTGTCTGAGTGTGTGTGTGTGTGTGTGTGTGTGTGTGTGTCTGAGTGTGTGTGTGTGTGTCTGAGTGTGTGTGTGTGTGTGTGTGTGTGTGTGTGTGTGTGTGTGTGTCTGAGTGTGTGTGTGTGTGTGTGTCTGAGTGTGAGTGTGTGTGTGTGTGTGTCTGAGTGTGTGTGTGTGTGTCTGAGTGTGTGTGTGTGTGTGTGTGTGTGTGTGTGTGTGTGTGTGTGTGTCTGAGTGTGTGTGTGTGTGTCTGAGTGTGTGTGTGTGTGTGTGTGTGTGTGTGTGTGTGTGTGTGTGTGTGTGTGTGTGTGTGTGTGTCTGAGTGTGTGTGTGTGTGTGTGTGTGTGTGTGTGTGTGTGTGTCTGAGTGTGTGTGTGTGTGTGTCTGAGTGTGTGTGTGTGTGTGTCTGAGAGTGTGTGTGTGTGTCTGAGAGTGTGTGTGTGTGTCTGAGTGTGTGTGTGTGTGTCTGAGTGTGTGTGTGTGTGTCTGAGTGTGTGTGTGTGTGTGTCTGAGTGTGTGTGTGTGTGTGTGTGTCTGAGTGTGTGTGTGTGTGTGTGTGTCTGAGTGTGTGTGTGTGTGTGTGTGTGTGTCTGAGTGTGTGTGTGTGTGTCTGAGTGTGTGTGTGTGTGTGTCTGAGTGTGTGTCTGTATCCACGATAAATCATGAACGGATACAAAGAAAAACACCAAATTTTAAACTTGAGCTTTATCCGACCTGCGGTGAACTGATTAGATTTTGGACAGAGACGGAACATCTGGGGGGATCAAATAAAAGGTACTTCTTATATAGTTTTTTATAATTTTTGTTTCATACAAAATTTTCTTAAAATGGTCCGTATTCGCGAAATTTTACAAAATATGCAAAATCCTGATTTTTAAAAAAATTGTTAAACTAAAAGTTGTTTGCGATATCGATCTGTACAATATTTTTTTACATAATTTCTCTAAAATAAACCTAATAGAAAAATTTGAGAAACAGTGTAAAATTTAAATTTTTCAGTATTTTCGCTTATAATGAATACATATAGAAAAATGTTTTGAGTGAGATGTATGTGGAAAAGGTATATATTTAGTTTATCCTCTAAACATTTACAGAGGTGTTGCAATAGGTTGGACAAAATAACCGGAAAAAGCCTGTAATAACTAGATAGGAAAGTCATATCAGATTTTATACGAATACACAAGTAGTGAAAACATTATTCTTTGAAGTAGTTATTTTGTAGTTCATTAAAAATATTTATTATCCTTTCTCTTTTAATACTTCTTATGTATAAACTTTTTATTTCACATAATTACGTAACATGAAATCTAAAGGTGTTAGGTCAGGTGACCTAGGAGGCCACTGTATTGGAGCCTCCGCACCTCGTCCAATTCAACACCGTGAACAATTTTCACTCAAACCCTACGTAAAAGATTAAAATGTGGCGAAGTACCATCGCGCACAAATTTTTTTCTAGCAACGTCGAATGTTCTGCAGCCATATCTTTGCAAAGTACATTAAAGATTCTTGATTTTAGTGGTCTCATTTTTATATAATTTACTACAGTTACAACAGTCGTTAGCACAATGTTGAGATCAGGCCTCATTTCTTTGAAAGCCAGAGCCTCTCTGTGGATCATGCAATTGGTCCAGTCACATTGCTGAGATTTTTGTTTTACAAGTACCTGTACACTTTGGAATATATTTTTTACCTATACAATATGTGTGATGTGGAAATAATAGAATAAACAAAAAATATTGAATGAATTTATATTAGAAATCTTACGATCAATATCCGGCAACTGAAACAAATTTAGACCCATTCTAAACCTTATAGTAAATCTTCTAGTAAGATCAGAACGCACCATATACGGATTTACCCTACGAATATACTTAAATAATTATTATTGGGTCCACCCTATATTATCTAGCGTTAGTGTTTACGTATATTTTGCATGATTCATAACATAACCTCAAACAATTGTTTATGCCTTACTAACTGCTGCATGTTTTATGGTCTTTTGTTTGGACATGACGTATAATATTTGCTATAGTATGAATAAAACATTATTATTATTATTATTAAGTCTACAATATGCCGATGCTTCATGATGTAACTAGGATAATCACTATAAGATTTAGGCAAATATTAATTCTCTTATCCAAAGATATATAACGTAAAAATGTCACTTTTGAGATAAGTAGCGGAATTTATTAATCTTTAGGTAGTAGACTCATAATGATGAAAAACTGCATAATTAAAATTGTGTTCCAGGTCGTGAGATCGCAGTAGAAAATATTAAAAACATTTACAATCATAAATATGTGTTTTCTTTCTTGATTCTACTAAAAAACTGTACTTTTTATATTATGAGATATGTCTTTAGATGATTTTTTTTTAATTAATCGAATAAGAGCGATATCAGATATTGAAGAATGCATTTTAACACTTATTGTAGGTAATCGTTAACAAAAAAAGTAAAATAAATATGTTTATTTTTCAAAAGATTAATAAGTGTATTTACGTGTACCAATATGAATCAATATTGATGAATAGTCATTTAAATAATTTTATTTCGAATATCTGGTATAGTAGTTACAACAATGAGATCAGGGCCACGTTAAAATCTCTTTGAAAGTGATTTGGATCAAATTTGGGGCGAACCTACCAGATACAATTTCAAATTGACACTTAAACACAATGGCAGAAGCGCCATCGTTTGATTTTTTAATGATTTAATAACGTATAACAGTAGTACTATATTATATTTTTTACACCCATTTTTTAAATATTTTTTAGGTTAGTAACCTCGAAAAAAAAAAGCTCTTCACCAACTTCATATAAAAATAAATTTCTAACACGTGTTTTTTACTAAAATTTTATTTTATAATAGCTCATACCAATTTAACAATATGCACCATGCACATTATTTTCCAATTCATGCGGCCTTCTATATAAAAAAATCTGATGTGTCCAACACATGACTTTCCTATCTAGTTATTACAAGCTTTTTCCGGTTATTTTGAACAACCTATTGCAGCACCTCTATAAATGTTTATAGGAGGATAAACTAAATATATACATTTTCCACATACATCTACCTCAAAAATTTTTTTTATAGATATTCATTGAAAACGAAAATACTCAAAAATTTAAATTTAGCACTTTTTCTACAATTTTTCCATTACGGTCCATTTTAGAAAAATCATGTATAAACAAAAATTATAGAGATCGATATCGCAAACAACTTTTATTTCAACAATTTTCATAAAAAGCAGAATTTTGCACATTTTGTCAAATTTCTCGAAAACAAGTTTAAAATTTAATGTTTTTTTCTTCATCCGCTTTTGAGTTTTCTTCATATTTCGAAATTTACACATTTTCTCAAATATCTCGAATACGGTCCATTTTAGAGAAATTATGTATGGAATAAAAATTATAGAGAATTATATTACAAACAACTTTTGTTTGAGAAATTTTTATAAAAAAATATTTTTTTACATTTTGTCAAATTTCTCGAATACGGACCATTTTAGGAAAATTTTGTATAGAACAAAAATTTTAAATAATAATATAAGAAGTAACTTTTTATCGGTTCATGAGTTATGCGACACACAGACACACACACAGACATACACACAGACACACACACACACACAGACACACACGCACGCACGCACGCACGCACACGCACGCGCACACGCACACGCACACACACACACACACACACACACACACACACACACACACACACACACACACACACACACACACACACACACACACACACACACACACACACACACACACAGACATCATCGCGAAAATAGTCAAAACAGATTCAGGGGACCTCAAAACGTAAAAATCCGTCGAAAACTCGAGGTCGAAAAAAATCATGCTTCCT